TAACCATTCTATGATTCTATATTAAAATCAGTAGCCTAAATACAGTGATAGTAGATGTATGAATAGCTGTGCTTTAGAGTGCTTTAGTGTTTTTTAAGACCTGACTCCAAGTTCTACCACCTCTTTGGGAGAAGAGTCTGATTTTATGAAAAGTTGTATGGAAAATTATTTTCTTGGGGTGAAAGAAATTGCAGAGCAGTCCTTCTAAAGTGACATAGTATTTCTATATAAAGGTTTTGTTGCTAGTATGTAATGCTGTTGGGAAAAAAAAAACACTGAATAACGGAATATGGCTTTTGTAGGTATTTCTGACTTTTTAATTTCCAAAACTCCTATCAAAGAATGAAATGATTAGTATGGATCTTAACAATTGTATCTGCTACTTCTTAGATGCACAAACAAAATTTAGATTTCTGTGTAAAAATAAGATGGAAAAAAGTAAAATTTTACTTGTTGACTTTTTTTTCCTTTTAAAAATAGGGCTTCATTTGTCCTCTATGTATGAAGTCTCATGGATCAGCTGAGGAGCTGTTCAAGCACTATGAAGCAGTTCATAATTCTGGCATTGATTCAACTCATGGAGGGGAAGGTCATCTGTCACCAGAAAGGTGCAACAGTACTCATTTGTGCATGTGCTTTTGTGTCAGTGTTGAGCTACTTCTAATTGTACTGAAGGCTGTATTAATTTGGACACTTAATTATGTAGTCAAGTATTTAAATGTTCATGCCCCATTTCCAACTACGATTAAAATCAGCTTGAAACTTACATTGGCTGATATTGATCTGACAATAAATGAAAACCAGAGATGCATGTTTATATTGGTAATTAAATCACCTGTTTCTCATGCAGCTGACAATGCAATATTACAGACTGGAATGATTTTTAGGAGTGTGGCAGAAAAAACAGGTTTCTCCTAATTTCCAGCATAAAGCCGAAATTTCATCTTTTGAGGGTGAGGGAGGACAACCCTGAAGATAAAGAAACCTGATTTTGTCTCTGGTTAGTTAGAGTACTTACTGGGTAATTTTAACATCAGTATTTGCCTAAATAGGTTCCCATATTACCTAGTTGTTTGCAAGTCTGAGAAGTTTCTGTCTGTGTCACTAATTCTCCCTCTGTATTCCAGAAACTCCATGCTGATCTTCAGAAATCTTCTTTAACTTATTTTATTGAACTGTTTGGTCAGAACTGTATTGTTAAATATATTCTTAGGAAACATATCAGGTTGTTTTATTTTTGAGACCAGCAGTATGTAGCAGGAACTGGTAAGGCAAAACTTTCTCTAGAATTTAACTGAATAATCTGCCTGTGGTTTGGAGAGCTTTTTCTTAGGGGAAAAATTTACATAGGTTTCCTTTCACTTCCTGCTCGTTCTTTTTCTGTTCAGCGTGTTATTTTGGACTGTCGTAAATGACAGCCCATGCTGCTGTTTTGTTGCACTCCCCCAAACTCCCCTGGGTTTGTATACAGCAGTGTCAGAGTGAGCAGCTGCCGGTGGCCTCATTCAGCAAACAGCGGTAAACCCGGCACAACCCTGCAGGTGGTCACCTGCCAATGGAGCTGTGTGGCCTACTCAAGAGAGGGTGGTTCTTCGGTGAGAAAAGTGTGGAAGGTAACACCTTTCAGTTGGTATCTGAGTGAAGATCCTGTATTGTGCAGAGCTGGTAAGCCAGTAACAGTCAGCATTAGCAGAAGTCATGTCTTCATGCATGGATGGGCCCTTTCCTGTGGATAGCTGCCTTCTTTCCCAGCTGCTGCAACAAAAGAAATCAAAATTAGGGTTTTATGTAGGAGAAAAGTGGTAGGGTACTAGTGGAGTTGTATTGAGTTTCTTGTGTGCAGAATTTATTTGAGTATTTCTTCTCTCTCTGATTTAATCCTTTTCGGAGTGATAAAACTTAGACCTGAAATGATACTTTTAGTAGAATAATAGCATTCACATTGGGGGAATTATTGTTCATAACTATATTGTTTATATAGTTTATAAAAGATTTATTTTTATGCCTGCAATTTTCCAATGTCAACCAGATGTTGGCTGGTGAAATTTATTTATTTTTTTCCTGGCTCTTGACAGTTTTAAGGACAAGTGGTTTTGTTTTCTCTCATATAATTGAAATCAAGTGGACAAGGTCAGGGAGTTTGGATGGAGTGAAGGGAGTCTGGTGAGAGCTGTTGTGTAACACATGAGCTGTTTCTTAGTGTGGCGTTCTTTAATGTTTCTCAGTTGCATGTTTGCTTGAGAAAACTCTCATTCAACATAAACATGTTTTTCCAAGACTCAGAATACTGCATGAAAGAAATGCTGCAGCAGAGGGCCACTCTGTTAGCAGTATAGGAGTGAAGTTTACATGTAATTCGTAGGACCAAGACTGGGAGATGAAGTTCCTTATTTATTCAATAGAGAAAGCTAGGTACTATGAATTATGTTTGTGTCCTCTTCCCCCCATCTCCTACCATAAGTAAGTGCCAAGAGTAAATCATGCAACTCTCCAGTGCAATTCAGCAAGGCCACTGGTACTCTGTACTAGGATGGAGGCACGGGCGTTACAGATGGGCAACGGAGTGGAGCATAAGGAAAAGGTAGTAAGGATTTGCCAGATGATGAGGCTCAGATGTGCTGAGAGGAGGAAGGGATTGTAACAGCCCTAGCAGAAAGGGAGATTTGGTGAGCATTTGAATGGCAGTAAGAAAAAGTTACGGTGTCTACAGGCATCCCTTACACTTTCTTCCCCCTGCTGCCCTTAATTTTCCATTGGTCAGCTAAACTGAATTTAGGTTTCATCTTACAACTATCAAGCAAAACTGTGTTGGGAGTATTGAGGCAACTACTGTAGAAGAGTCCTTACAAACTCTCTTCTCATTCTCCTCCTCTCCTCCCTCCTCTCTACTACGAACTATTTTTATACAGCTTAAAACCTTTTATCTGCTACGAAGACCAGAGCATCTTAAATGCTTTAGTATTGCAAATCTGGTATATGCCCAGGCCCAGCTTCAACATATTTACCTGCTTCACCCGCCTGAGATTTCATTTATAGTCTTAGGTGTGAATATTAGCTGATCTAGTTACTCTTACACTGATGAGAAAGCTGCTCCCTTTTCTCCACCTACAACCAGCATACCGGTTTTGGATTACAGCTACACTTGTCTCACTAAAGCTGTATTTGTGAACATCCAGTGAATGTTGCACATGGGCAGAATAATGTGTAAATAGCAGAAAATCTTCCTCTGAAAAAAATTAGCCTCCCAATATCCCATGCTTGTTTTGCCATTAAAATTGGTCTGCGTTGGAGTTCTTGCTTCCCTGGTTCAAGTACATGTGTTTCACTTGCTTCTTGATGACCCTCACCTGATGTTAATATGCTAATGTAGATTGAATCTATTCCTTCTCAGTTTAGCTAAGGAATAGCTTCCTTTGGTTTTGTGTTTGGTTCCCCCCCTCCCCCCCCGCCCCCTCCTAAGTACAAGATAATTTAAAAGAACATCTGTGGAGGAGAAGATAGTGCAGCACAGCAGCAATAGAATTGTATGGTATAAAACTGAGAATTTGTTGGCATTGGCACCCACGTGCATACATTCTGTGTACTCCTCACTGTTGCCACTGTACAAACAATAAGAAAGGGCTTGTTTTCATGATTTTAATCACCTGTGTATTCTAAATTTGGAGGGGCTGTATCTCAGTAATGCAACATTATTCTTGTATGTACAGTTGTGCAATTCTGTACAGAGACCTGTGTTTTAGAAGGGTGCTGCCTAAATCGATTAATAACAATTGTAGCCTTGGCTCTTGTGTTCTAGCATGGCTGGAGGCTTAAGCATGAAATTTGAGAATTTAAAATCCCAAGGCTTTAAACATTCAGACCATTAAGTGAATGTGTCTGTGGGGCACACGGAATTGCTGTGTGGATGAAAAATTATGTAACTGCATATATTTCAAAAGGAGTAAGACAGCATGCTGTCTCTTAGCAGTGTTCCTTTACATGATATGGAAAGTGAAGGAAAATAGACCTGTCCTTTTCATAAAAAGGCATGCAAAACATTTAAATGTCCCAGTGTACAGCTTTGCCATTCTGAACTCGTGTGGTTGAGCTGATGCACCGATTTAGATTTACATTCTACTTTCAAGAGACTTTTTGCATATCTAATTGTTTACTTATCCAATTAATATGTTCAGCATTTTTCAAGTGATGTGCAAAGTGAACTAATAAGTATCTGTTAATCTGGTTTGTTCCAAGTTTCAAAAAATCTAAAAATAACTATTTATAATTATGTAAGTTGTGTTTATGTAGTACATGGCTGTCACTCCAGTTATTTAATACACATTACAACCTGTGTGCAATTGACAAAATATAACCACTGAATATTCATTTTCTTCACTCCATGGATATGTTTATTCAGAGATGAAGTATCACTGCTCCGACAAGAAGTCCAAGACTTGCAAGCTTCATTGAAGGTTGGAAATGTATTTTACTTGCACTTAGTTCTTTGTGTCAAATTGCGAAGTGTTCTATTGTCTTAAGCAACCAAATTTACAGTTGTCTCTCCCCTGTCTCCTCTCTCTTTTTTTTTTTTTTTATATATTTTTTTCCCCCTAGGAGGAGAGGTGGTATTCAGAAGAGCTGAAGAAAGAACTAGAAAAATTGCAGGGGCAGCGGCAGCAAGTAATTGCTTTAAAATACTTGAAGCAGGTTTATCATCAGCATTGGCATTGAAGATTAATACCTTTTTTGTAAGGCACGTGGCCTGATTTAGTTAGTTCCATAATTTGAATATTGACATGTTTTTGAAAACAAAGTTAGTTATCTCTCCACAGTGTAATTCTATATATAAACCTGAAGAACAAAGTCAGAATAGATAATGCTTCTTCCATATTACTCACTACAAGTTCAGTTTAGACTTTTATGTTGGGCTTAATGAGAACTCAGTTTATTAAAGACAATGAATTGGATATGGTGTTTCCTCTGTATGAAAGGGGGCGATGGGGTCTTTCTTGTAAGAACTTTTGGAGAACAGTAATGTGATTTCACAGATGTCCAGATGAACTGAACAAACAAGGCAAGGCAAATTGTGATGTGCTGTGCCCTAGGGAAGCTCTTACTTTTTATTACTGTGAGCTACTTAGATAATGGATTGTTACAAACCTCTGAAATTGCTTTCTGACAAAATGCCTTCTCACAATGTATTTAATGATGTCTGTAATCTCTGTTTTTAGGGCATATTTCAATATTGAGGAAAGGGAGGGGGAGGGGATTGTTACTGGAGTCTTGCAAGTCTGGAAGCCTGATAGTGTAGTGATACACGAAATGGAAAATCACCTTGGCCTTTTCCAGTCTTCCAGATATAACTATTAGAAATCAGGTATTTTTACACTGCTATGCAGTATTTGAGCATGGAAGTCTTTATTTTCCTGCCTTTTCCAAAAATGGGACGAACCTGGGAATTAGTAGTTTTTATTCCTACTGTCTAATGATGCATTTATTCTGTTTTCTTAAGGATTCTAAGTCTGATGGATTGACAGCGGCTACATCTACAGGTGGCTACCATTTTATGAATTTCTGCACTGATGTGGAATTTCTGAAATTTTTTTCAGTGTAGCTTTTAGGTTTATGAAAAAACACTTTTGATAAATTAAAGAGCTAGAAAGCTAGAATGGTGTTTACTGGGGAAAAAAAGTTCATTCTAAGTGCTTAAGATAGATAGCTCTGATAGCTATGGTCTGGGGAAATGTTCTAGAGGTTCGGGGTTTGTAATGTCTAGAAGTGAGACTGGAGTTCTCCTGACTCCGAAAGCAGTTCTCATGAGTAGTTTTGAACATGTTTTTAATAATTTCATATATTCAGTCATTCAGTACAAGTCTTTTGCTGAGAAAGACAGTGATTGTTGGTATTTAAACTATAGCATTTGTCAGTGCTGGTTTTATTTAGTGTTTTTCTGTACTCATTGCTAGCAAAGAAAACAATGAAGTTTTTGTTGTTTTTCGTTGTTGTTGTTTTGCAGACCAATAATTTTTGCTCTATGTTTTTCTTCATGAGACACTCATGGAATAAAATTTTCCTTATATGTTCATAAAGTATCTGACTAATCATGATTAAAGAGCTTTTAATCACAGTTCGGGGCTCGGAATTCAGCAGCATGTTACAGTCATCTGAAGATCTATTTGTGACCAGTGAAAACTAATACGTACTTAATGCTGCAGAGTACTCAACTAGTGACAGGTTCCAGTATCATGCTTGTAGATATTTAACTTCAGTAAAATTGTTTATTTTGCTAAGCTAATTGGATGTTAAATGAACTTAGATTACTCGTTTACCTGCTGTGGTTCATTATGGGCATGAGTAACTGTATTGTCCTAGTTCTTCCAGAAAATAATACTGTTCTTTTTATGGAAATAGAATCATTAGAACGGCAACTAGAAGAGATCCAAGTAGAAAATTTTAACATTAAACAAATGAAAGACTTATTTGAGCAAAAAGCAGCACAACTGGCCACTGAAATTGTGGGTAAGTATATCAACATGGGGTTTGATTCCGTTCTCTAATTGTGCAACTTGTGCAAGTGATTATTTATTGAACTTCCTTCTTATTAGATCTGAAATCAAAGTATGATGAAGAAATCAGCCTTCGGGAAGGTGCGGAACATAAAGTGACAAACCTGACACAAGAACTACAGAAGGAGAGAAGTACAGTGGAAGACTTAAAGACAGAGCTGGTATTCACATCACGCTAGTGTTTTTGTTCTTTTCAAGTCAAGAGAGGGATATACTTAAATGCTTGCAAATGCGGTTTTAAAGTTTCCAAACTCTGACGAACTCAGAGATATCTGCTCATGGGCTGAAAAAGTTAAGAACACCATTGTTTCTGATCTGTTCACTGACCTGTTTTCACTGTTTTTCCGGTGAGGAAATACATGTAGTTTCTGACTTACGCATTAAAATTTACCTTATATTATATTATATTATATTATATTATATTATATTATATTATATTATAGTCTGCTTGTTTGATGCTCTACTCTTTCGCAGTTTTGCAGGGGATTACACGTACAGCTATGCTGTGCAGAGCCTGTACTCAGAGCATGCCACTGCTGACTTTCACAGCTGTCTTTAGATCCCCCTTTTTCCATGAGGTGTTACGCTCGGACTGTCCCTGGACAGCTGCATTCATAAGAAATGCTCAGAGAGGTGTTTTGTGACATGGTGGCTGAAAGGTTGGCAGCTGTCATCACCATGCGTACGTTAATGTTGTCCCTCTTGTGCTTGGCTGATAATACCCATGTGTGTATATTCCAGGATTTTGGCTCCTGATGACTTTTATATGCAGCCATGGCTCTCAGGAGCAATCCCAGTGACTCGGCAGTCATGCTGCTTCCAAAGCAGTAATGAAGGGAACTTCCTAGCTTCTCGTTTGTCTTCATTCCTTCACTCAGCCACTGCTTAGACTCTGGAGGAAAGTAGTTGTTTATTCCCCTTCTTCCCTGTAGTCAGCTGCCCTGAAGGGCTCAGGAGTCCTGCTTGGCCCTGCCCAGCCACTGGAGCTGTCCATTCCTCTTCATGTGGTTAGTTGTTTCTTGGCCCCCTTTCTCCTTATGTGTTCTTACCCTTTTTCTTGTACCTTTTCTTTTCTATATGCCAGCATTTCCTTTTCTGTACTTTTCCTTGGTGCCCAGTGTTGCCTTTCTCCTCCCCTCCATAGCTTTTCACTTTGAGGGACAGTATGGTGCTTTAGATGAAATTACCAACACCCCATTTTACCTGTGGGTCCAATATGAGGCATATCTGACAGTACCTTCAAGACTTTTCCTTCAGCTGCCCTTGTTTTGTTTGTTCATCTGAAATAGTACTAGAAGACAGAGACAGTGTCCTTATAAAAGTCTGTGTAGTAGTACTGGACTGTTATGTGTCTCAGTCCTGAGAGGGGCTTGTGAGTATTGCAGCAGTATAGTACAGACAGTAGTTCCTTCTGTAGAATAGTGGAATCAATACAGCCTGCTTCACAGGGAATTCTGAGTTCAGATAGATTTCCTGCATGGATTCCCTGTCACTTCAGTGCTTTCTTCCAGCGAAGGTCTTCATCCTGTCCCTAGTCATCTATCTACGTGAAAGTTACAGAAATTTAATCTTTGAGACCTTATCTCATTTGTCAGATTTGCTTGAAATCAGTCAACAAGTTCAAAGTTTAGTAGGCATGAACTGACAACCAGTCATTAAATCCTGTTTCTTTTGGGAATGATATGTAATTTTCTGTGGGTTTGGTGTTTTGGGTTTTTTTTGGGGGGGAGGA